TAATCTAATAAAAAAAATAAATATAAAGTAAACAAAAAATAATCTTCTGAATTATGATTATAATATATCTCTTTAATCGTGCTATTAAATTTTCTTATATATTATTCCTACGATCATACTTATGGATCATTTTGATAACAAACGTTATACCATTTTTCTTTTTTATATATATATATTTAACGTTCGACAATAAGGAAGAACAATTTGTAACGATTGAAAGGAAAATGAGGCCGACTACTCTTCCCCCGTTTATTTCCCCCCTTTCTTTTTTTCTTCCTTCTTTTCTTGACAATTCCTTCATGGAGAAGATAAAGTAGAGTGAAAGGTTCGTTTGGGGTATATTGCTATCGTTGGAGGCGGTAACGATGACGGTAACGGTGACGGGGGCGGGGGAGTGGGTGAGTGAGGGGTAAAGAACAAAAAAAAAGAAAAAGAAAAAGAAAAAAGATTCATCTGCCAGTAGATGATCCCTTTGTTGTTTAAACTGGATGCCTTTTGCGACCATTTTCTTCCTAGAATCGTTGCGTTTTTCTTGCTAATATTCTTTCTTTCTTTCTTTCTTTCTCTTAACTAAACCACCCTCCCACCCACCCTTCCCTCATATTTTTTTTTCTTTATCTATCTAACGCCTTAGCCGCAAGGATTCGCGAGAAAAGCAATTCGCGACGTTACTTGGAAAGAAATTCACGGAACTAGGGGTAGAAGGGTGGAGGAGGAGGAGGAAGGAAAAGGAAATGGTACGAGGGATGAAAAGAAGAGGGTAGTAAAGAGAGAGAGAGAGAGAGAGTAAGGGTTGGTTAAGGGTGAGATACTAGAAAAGACGGGGTTGGAGGGTGGAAAGACGACTCGACAGAGTCGAATCGACCCGGAACACCCTCGTTTGTCCGCGGTGGGCGGGGCAAAGTGTTACCCCCTCTCCCCCACCCACCCCCGCTACGCTTTTTCCCAGGCATCCCTCTACTTTTTCTTTCTTTCTTTCTTTCTTTCTTTCTTTCCTTTGCTTTGCTTTACTTTACTTTACTGTTCTTTTCTTTCCTTTTCTTTTCTTTTCTTTCCTTTTCTTTTCTTTTCTCTTCTTTTCTCTTCTTATTTTTATTTTTATCCCAGCTATGTTCCGCTTTTACTCTTTGCTATACTTCACCTTAGGGAAAGATGACTATGACACCCTTTTGCTCCGCTAAACTCATGATTTACATTAATCTCGAAAATATAACTTACGTAAATTCTGAAAACGTTGATTTTGTAATTTTGTCTCTCACATTGTTTCACATTTGTAATAAAATATATATGTGTTTTGTAATATTTATATTGATATTATTATTATAAATGGGAAGATTTTGTATTAAATATATATACTTAACAAATGTTTTATTAGATTGGGCCATAAAATATTATTATTAAATATATTATATATTTCAAAAATAATTATTAAGAAAAAATAATGAAGAAGAAATATTTGGATATACGTATTAATTGTATATAAGGGTTGTATATAGTATATTACTTGGTTTTATTTTTTTGGGGGTTAGTTAATTCAAGAAATCGTTGAAAAACACTTGTTATATCGATCAGAAGTTATTTAAAGATTGGACGAGTACCTATACTAGATATTTTCGATATGTTATTTTCTACTTAGATCGTTGAAAGTTCTTTCATTGAAACGTAAGAACACCAAAATAATCTTCAGCAACAAAAAAAATATCGGGGGTCTTCGAGTTACTTTGAAATTTATTTTTCTTCTTTTCTTTTTCGTTTTTTGTTTTTTGTTTTTTTTTTTAAAAAAACTCGTTAGGTAGCATATTCCTAAAGTAGAAAGATATGTTGAAAAATGTTGTTAAAGAAACACATTCTTTTCAAGGCACGTGGCTTTGCAACATTTTTCACGCTTCTAAACGATTTAGTAACTCTTTGAATATATTTGTGTGTGTGTGTGTGTCTGTGTCTGTGTGTATGTTGAGAGGTCTCTCAGGGCAAGGTGGTGATCCTTTCTAACTTTCAAGGTTCTTTCGAGACTCTCTTTTCGAAAGATTTTTTTTACTATGAATCTTCAAGGTTCTTTTCTGTTATTTTCAAATTCATATATTTCTTTCTTTTTTTTTTTTTAGTCTTTAAACTTTTCTTCATTTCTAAATTATACCAATTATTTTCAATCTCAACGAATGAGACATTCTTTTACCCCCCTTACCCCCCCCCCCCCACCCCATAATCGCGAGAAAAATTAATCTATAAGATGAAAATATAATAATATTAGAATGATTAGATATATGATAAGATCAAACAAACAAATAAAAATAAAAAGAAGAAGAAAAAAACGAAAATGTCGTATTGTAATTTGTGTTTAATTGGTAACCAAGAGAAGGAACGAAAGGAAACGTTCTGAATCATCGTGAAATGATTATTGGCATACTGCCTAAAGATAGTCATCTCGATTCCGTTCGAGCGTAAAACTGCTATCGAAATTTCCCACATATGTGTATCCGTATATATGGATGATCGTTTTGAAGAATGATCATCGATCAATCATACACGTATAGTGTTACATCATATATATATATATCGTTTTAGAGATTTGATCAATTCGAATCTGAAAAGTGAAATGTTGCGTAGATTCGTTGATTAGTATTAGAACGAAAGGATTATAATTATACGCTAATATGCTGTAGTCGTTTTATAGTGTACCTAAATATTTAGTTATCACGTAGATCGCAGATGCATCTTGGGTTGCGATTTAAGAACGTGCCTATAATATACCTAAATATATATATATATTTACAGTAATTTATCTACATGCGCACACTCACTCATACACACTCACGTATATATATTTATATATATATATACAGGGTTTCTTGTAACTGGTGATATAAATTTAACAGATAAACGATTCTACATGAAACAAATTAAACGTAAGTCGAAAATATAGAAATCTAATTTGTTCGTAGAGAAAAGTTTTGTTTTTATAAATAAAAAAATAGGTTTAAAAAGTCGATTAAGTTTTTCAATTAATTTGATTATCTTATTCTTAAATATTTTAGTAATATTGTGATACTTAATATCGTTTATGTTCACAAGTCACTAATGAGAGATTTTTAAAAAGTTATCATTTTTAATAGGATAATTATTTTTTTGGAATATTTACTAACTAATTATTCCATAAAAATGATCAATAGTAATACGTGAAAACATTAACGACAAACAATGTTAATGAAAACATTTTGGACAAGAAAATTTATTGTATTAACATTAACAAAAAGTTTACTCTTCTCAAACCTGATTTTCCCAATTGAATATACACGTGCACTCGCATAAGATTTCTAAGCTTATTATTTTTCTTAAAAAATCGAAGCCTCTTATGAACAAATTTTATTTGACTTAATCGATTATCAATTTTCACGTAGAATCATTTTCTGCTTTTTTTTTTTTTATGTAACACAAAGTTACGAGACATTCTGTTTTTATATCAACATTCATAATTTAATACAATATATGAGATCACACGTCGTTCAATGAAAAATTGTATTCAATATGATTCGAATGAGATTAATTTAACGATGTTTCGTGATCTTTCTCTTTTTAGATCGCTGCCGAAACTCAGCAGCCAGGACGAGGATGGGCCGAACCCTCACACCCAATACACAGGCGTCACGCACTTCGAGCCCATACCGCACGATCATGACTTTTGTGAGAGGGTCGTCATCAACGTGAGTAACACCCATATATATATATATTTTCATCTTTTTTCTTTAACATTCGATCGATATATAAAAAAGAATTTTATAAAATACAATAATTTCAAATCCAAGTGAACCCTTTGCACTCTTAAAGTACACTTTTTGCATTAATCATCGTATAACATAAAATATTTCGAGTGCAAAGGGTTAATCTATTTAATAGAAAGTAAAAATTATTTTTTAACTTTTTTATAATAATTTTATTTTTTCAAATTGAAATATTAATGTTAAATATTTTTGTTGAAAACAAAATTAACTAAGGATATATATATATATATATATTCTTTTTTCTTTCTTTTTTCTTTTCCTTTTTGTGTGCGTGTGTTGAGTAATCACAGATAATAATAAATTTGTTCGTACGTATTTTAATCATCGCATGGTGTAAAACCCTTATATTATATATGAGTCAGTCGCTCATACGTATGGGGTATTTGCATGAACGATCCGTACATGGATCTCTAGTAACACACAAATGAATTAATAGAAACAAATATTTCAGTAATCGTATATTCAAATTAGTTAGATAGTAAATATATACATTTACTTTTGAATTATTCATGTAGAAAATTAACGTTAAGTAGGAAAGGAAAAAAAAAGATAAGAAAAGAACGAAAAAAGGAAAAAGATAAATCATAGAAAGAATATTTTACGAAGGATACGATCGATTATAACACCTTTTTTAGTTTTCATTTCTTCTTCTTTTTTTTTTTTTTCCTTCGAATAATCACAAATATCATAGAAGTACGTCACCTGTTCGTAAATTTAAATATCAGGCGGATAGATTCGATTTCAATTGGAATAGTTCCCGAAGCCTACTTGACGATAAGAGTGTTTCACAACACATGACGGGGGGTTGGGGGGTTGGGGGTAGGTAGGTAAGAGTTTAAAGGGTAGAGTAGAAAATAAAAAAAAAAAAAAAGAAAGTAATCATACCTTTTGTAACAACACACCGGTCGTCGGCGAGCACCTCAGTTTCTTTTTTGTTAAAGAAGATTATCTCAAGACACACGAAGTGACCTACAGACCGTATTTGGCAAGCATCCAAGTTCGTCTTGGAATCAGGGGCAATATAGTACCAAGGTCGTATTGTGTGAACGGAATTATCTGTCCTCGTGGATGACACGACTGCATTGCGCCAATTACAGTTATCTGTTCGATCGTTTTTCAAAATCGCTTGGGGCCTGACAATTGACACTAAATGATACCTTACAAATTATCCACATGTTTTCAGTGGTAAAGAAAGAAAAAATAATAGATTCAAAACTCTATCATTACTTTAGAATTTTTATTATATTCTTATCGTTTATTATTATTATTATTACGATATATCGAATTGAAAAACGTAAGGTATTTAACTCTTTGAGATAGTGTAATATTAAAAGTATCGTTCTACCTTTTTTTATGGATAAATGTACACGTTGGGATCATTTCAATTCTACCCTGTAACAAACAGTTTCAATTTGTATATATTACTTTATTAATCAAAATGAAATTAAAACCTGATGCAATTTTATAAAGAAATCAAATTTCTCTGCAAAGTGAGAAAATTTCGTATCTCAAAGGGGGTTAATCATTGACACGTTAATTATGCAACACAATCGATCTATATATTACACGAAATTGTATATGAAATATACATAACAACTTTGTAATATTATATTACTTGTTTTAAATTCGTTTGACATTGTGTTTTCGTAGACAATCGAATAAATCTATTGATATATATTATGTTTTAAAAATTAATGAAAAATCTTTGGAAAATGTATGTTTGATTGATGATAAAAAAAAAAGAAAAAAGAATATTATACGACTTTGTCTTGGACAGGTGAGTGGATTACGGTTTGAGACACAACTACGCACGCTAAACCAATTCCCGGACACGCTGCTTGGCGATCCGGCAAGGCGGCTTCGATATTTCGATCCGCTTCGCAACGAATATTTCTTCGACCGGAACCGGCCTTCCTTCGATGCGATACTTTATTATTATCAAAGTGGTGGTCGACTTCGCCGGCCAGTCAACGTTCCCCTCGATGTGTTCTCCGAGGAAATCAAATTTTACGAATTGGGCGAACTTGCCACCAACAAATTCAGGTACGATTTATCTTTTGAGAAAGTAATAATAACATCTAATGTATATTTTTTTCAATTGATTTTATTTTTTTCTTTTTCTTTTAATTTCTTGCCATAGATTTTTGTGTCTGACACGTGATAATAATTTTAAAACGAAGATTAATATATCACGAGTGTGACTCGTGGAAATAAATATGGGACAAACGTAAACGTGCTTTTACGTACGAATTTTGTCGTACTAAATATACTTTAAGGTATTCAAAATAAAATGTTATTAATGGGATACTCTGAAGGATTGATCGTTTTCAAGATTTATTGGTTCCCATATTAATTGTTTTTCGCGTATACGTTTTACTTTGATCGAAATTTCAAACACACGTTTGTCTCATAATTATATTTTTGAAGTTATACTACTTTTGGCGCGTTTTGGAAAGTCAAGTTAGATGCGACCGAAAATTCGACACCACGAAGTTGTCCGATATTTACGATGCGCGGGAAAATTGAAATTATTTTTGAGGTTATATTCTTTTTGGTATGTTAAAGAAGTATAACCTTTTAGTACACACACCAGTTTTTTTTTTCAAATTTAAATAAAGAATATTTTGTGGAAATTATATTTTCGAATGAAATACGTAAGATCTTGTTTATAAGTTATATTTATTTTTAATTGAAATTAATTTTATTCAAATTTTTAAGAAAAAAAAACGAAAGGGTATCGTAATAATGAATATTCCATACTCGTTAAGATCAACAATTTTTAAAACAAATAATTATTAATCCATGGATTCTATATTATTGATTGATAGAAGTAGTATAACACACGGTTTTATTTTTTACCAGTATTTTTAATATGTCAAAAACGAATATGAAACTTTAGGAAAATAATCACTCTATAAACTTTGTATTAAATTATATGAAATTTTTACAATTTCATTTTACATATTACAGTCTTCGTTTGTATAATTACATTTGTTTGTTTAACTTTATATAATACACGATCACGTGTCAAATAAATTATATTTCATTTTAAACTAGTTCCCCCTGTGGCGCATAACAAAATTTATATTAAACGATATTTGAATATAATTATCTAAAATAAACAATTCGACGCAGAAAGAACTGAAAAGTGTTTCGATAGTTTATTATTTTTATATAAAAAAAAAAAAAAAAAGAGAAGAAAAAACTTGGTACCGGTACTTCAGATAGAAAAAAAATGAATGTATTGTAAGAAGGAAAAATTTCAAATCATTACTAAAAAAAAACATTATAAGTATATACAATTATAGGTAACATTTCGTTTTTGTCGATGATCTTTTGCCATCGTTTAAACAGTATCATAAATCAACGTTGATAAAATGTTTAATCTTTGAATGAAACGTAATGTGTCTATCGATAAAATCGTGTAATAAAGATAACAAATATTAAAGATAATTAAAGAGACAAATATTATAATTAAACAGGGAGGACGAGGGCTTCATTAAAGAAGAGGAGAAGCCGCTGCCGTCGCACGAGTTCCAGAAGAAGGTCTGGTTGTTGTTCGAGTACCCGGAGAGCTCGCAGGGAGCCCGGGTTGTCGCCATAATATCCGTGTTCGTGATTCTTCTCTCGATCGTAATCTTCTGCCTAGAGACCCTGCCAGAATTTAAGCATTATAAGGTCTTTAACACGACGACGAACGGCACGAAGATCGAGGAGGACGAAGTGCCGGACATAACGGACCCATTCTTCCTAATAGAGACTATTTGTATCATCTGGTTCACGTTCGAGTTGTCCGTGCGCTTCCTCGCCTGCCCAAATAAATTTAACTTCTTCCGTGACGTAATGAACATCATCGACATCATCGCGATCATTCCTTACTTCATCACCCTCGCCACAGTAGTGGCCGAGGAAGAAGACACACTTAATCTACCAAAGGCACCGGTTAGCCCTCAGGACAAGAGCACGAATCAAGCAATGTCCCTGGCGATTTTACGAGTCATCAGGCTCGTCAGGGTGTTCCGGATATTCAAGCTGTCCAGGCACAGTAAAGGCCTCCAGATACTTGGCCGTACTCTGAAGGCCTCTATGAGGGAACTCGGTCTTCTCATCTTTTTCCTTTTTATCGGTAAGTTTAACATTTATTATATTCATTTATTAATTATTTACAATTATTTCATACGATTTTTATATGAGTTTTATTATTATTATTACGTCTGTCTGTCTGTGTGTGTCTGTCATCGGAAAAGATCTATGTATATAATATATACAATCGAGATTTATATCTATTACTTGGAGGACCATTTATCGGAATATAAAGGGATAACATAAATCTTAGGATATTGTTAAGATGTTGGGCTAAATGTGGATGGATCTCCTACCTAATTGACAAAAAGGTTTGTCGTCAATTCCTAACGTTAATACGTTTCTAGATTCGAAGGAAAAATCGAAAAATATGATTCTCGTATAAATCGTAAAAAGGCGATTATTTATGTATCACGTAACAACGTATGCATACATACATACATATCAAAAGGAAAAGAAGAAGGATACTCTAGGAATTGGATGAAAATACCTGAAGACCGATGATCCGAAAAAAACAAAGGAAAGATGATAATGATGATTCGTTGCGTGGGTGGGCTGATGTGATGATGGGGTATCATCTCTCATGATGGGGGACCGATACCACTGGATAAGAAGAATAAATAAATAATGGAGAGGATAAAAATGAGAAGAAAACTGACTGACTGACTTCTACCAAAGATGATGCACATTGTACCAAGAGACGCGTTTAGAATTGAACGGTGATAAAAACACACACCACTTGAACCATGCCTTCCTCTTGTCTGCCTTTCAGGTGTGGTGCTCTTCTCATCGGCGGTGTACTTTGCGGAGGTGGGCAAGCACAACAGCCAGTTCAAATCGATACCGGACGCGTTCTGGTGGGCGGTGGTCACGATGACGACCGTGGGCTACGGGGACATGAGGTACAGAGCCACCGGGGGCAATAAACCCACTGAACCGGTGTTTTCTTCCTTGCATTGCAGGTGTGGTGCTATTTTCATCGGCGGTATACTTCGCGGAGGCCGGCTCCGAGAATTCATTCTTCAAGTCCATTCCGGACGCGTTCTGGTGGGCCGTTGTCACGATGACGACCGTGGGCTATGGTGACATGACGTATGATGTACTCACTTTCATTTAAGACTCTAGTTAATGCCCGCCAAAACGAACACACGCACCACCAGCGTCCGCAATTCCACCATCCCAATATTCTGTCATAGCCAATTATTCGAAATTCCACTTCCTCTTTTACACTTAAACGCTATCTTCCTGGGTACTCGACCCTTCGAGACTCGAACCCACCCTAACGCGATCTACCATCCCTTCCCCTTTACCCCATTTTCACACGTTCGTTCTCTCTCTCTCTCTCTCTCTTTTTCACTCCTTCATTCTTTTTTCTCTTATCTCTACCACTTCAACTGTAAGCCAACATGCCCTTGTTTTCTACCAACCCTCTCTCTTCACATTGACTTTCCACCTAACCACCAGTTACCTATTTACCTATCGTACTTTCTTCTTCTTCTTCTTTTTCTTCTTGTTCTTTTCCTCCAACCCTATCTCCCTTTTTCTCATCCTTAACCCATTCTATTCCTAACGGTCTTGCGTTAAAAGAGGCTACGGGAAAGAAGACGAGAGTACTTCGTACTCGAACATTCGAGGACTACTAACTCTAACCTTTACGATTTAATATCCCAATAGGGTTTGTTCATACCTTAAAGGTCAAATATTTTTTTTCATCTTACGATGATTCTTCCGTATTTTTTTTTTTTCTTTTTGGATACTATTATTATTTATCTTCCATATTTATTTTCACGTTAGAAATGTGATATTTTTTTATTTTGTTTAATTTATTTCTTTTTTTTTTAATGTTAAGGGAGAATTTAGAATAGGTAATAGTTAATGAATATAGTTTTTGTTTTCCGTACAACGACCAGACTATACATTAAGGTTAACGCATTGAATCCTGGAACATTGTACAATACGTTTATCTTATCTGTTTGAGAAAGTACGTTTAGTAAATGAAGCTTCATGAAGAGAGAAATGAATGAGAGAGAGGAGAGAGTAGAGAACTCAACGAGACTCTTGTCGTGTTCCCTATTGTCGAACGGTGATCAATGAGAAGGAAATGTCGAAACATGATGCGCTTCGAAAACGCGATGTTGGCACAGGTGCCACCAAGCGCTTGTCTTCGTTATGACAGGATGGGGTATTCGGGTTTTTCGTTTGAAAAATTGGAAAAAGGAAAACAAACAAAAAAAAAAAAAATACAGAAAAAAAGAAACACGATAGTTAAATAAAAAAAAAAATACCTCTCTAAAATAATAATAATAATAACAATAATAATATAAAATAAAATATAAAATGTTAACGCGGTAATAAAAAAAAAAAAAGGAAAAAAAGTAAAAAATAAAATAAAATATAAATTTCCCAACAAAACACTCGGGTCACGCGTATAGTTTCTATCGAACATTTATTTTCGCGATTTACTACTTTTTGTTTAAACCACCCGGCCCTTCCCTCCTCCCCCAACCCCCCATTTTTATCATCGATAAAAATTTGGAAAAAAACCGAATTGTCGTCGTTAACACGTGTAATACTTTTCATCGGTGTTTCTATCATTTTCTTTTTTTTTTTTCGTTTTTTATTCTATTCATTTTTAGTTTCAGTTTTTAGATTACTTTTTCTATTTTTCTTTTTCGGGTATACTCGCGCGATCCGTCGTAACAGGATAATTATATTCTATCGATAGCATAGCATTTGTTGTCCGAATGAGAAAGAATAGAGAGAATAGTGGAAGAAAAAGAGAAAAAAAAAAAAGAAGAAAAAGAGAGAAACTTCGAAGGATGTTTAGTGTTATGCTCCGAAGGAGTTCTTCCTGAGCAATTGCTTCCCGTAAATCAATAAGTGTCCTCCGGCAGCCAGTACAGGCTGCTGACTAGCTCCTTGGATACGCCCCAAGGCTAAAATGGGGAAAAAATATCATTAAAAAGCGAATAAAGAATCATAGAAATTTGTAATAGCAACTAGCCCAGTAAAAATAATAATAATAATAGTAGTAGTAGTATTAGTAGTAGTAATAGTAATAGTAATAGTAGTAGTAGTTACAACAACAACATCAGCAACAGCAATAGCAGTTTAGATTTATTTTTCAATTGTCCTTATCGATCAGATTAAAAAGATTAAGAGTCCTTCGCGTTTAACTTTTTTAACTTCTCACCAACAAACAAACAACCCCCTACCCCTAGGCCCCGTTGTCTCCCATTTCAACCCCCTCACAATTTTTCATATCTTTTTAACCCACTTTCGAATACTCCACCTTGTATTTCTCAACAATTCGAATTGTATATTTTCAGGTGATATTAATTATGCAATTGATTATTAATATAGGCCAATCAAAGTATATATTAGATTTTATTCCTTTGGTTTCAAGTTTGTTTGTTTATTTATTATTGTTATTTTTGAATGGATGTAGGGAAGGAGGAGGAGGGGGGGCAGAAAAAAAATTAATCATTACAAATTGTCTATACTTTATCTCGAAATAATTGAAAAATGGAACATGTATTTAATCTACAAAAAAGAAAAAAAAAAAGAAATCAATATGAATATCGTGTCAGGGTCTGGTATATAATGTTTAAAGTTCTAAGTTGGCACAAAGTTTGTTCTAGTTTTTTTTTTTTATCTTTTTCTTTTTTTTTTTTGAAGGATATTCTTTCTTCTTCTTCTATCTTTGTTATCGGGATCGATCTATTATATTGTATATATTATATATATTATCATATCGTAGTATTATAATACAAAAAAAAAAAGAGAAAAATAGAAACAAAGAGAAAATAATTGAAAGTTTTATCGAATTTTTGAATTTTTCTTTTCTTTGTATTTTTTGATTTTAATTCGTCAACGCAAAACCGATGGATAATTCCAATTTCGATGAATTAATCCCTCATTCGTCCATCCCACGAAATTCCAATCCTAAATCTTTGAAAAATATTCCTTATCATTGTTTATCAAAGATATTCCAATCTCTTGTTTATCCCCTGTCTATCAAAATCCACAAGTTTTATCGCAATTTCAGTTTACTTTCTTCTTTTATTTTTTTCCTTCACTTTGATATTTTTTATTCCACCCTCCCCCGCCTCCTTACCACCACCACCAGCCACCTCACGTAAACACAACGTTTTATTCTTTTGGAAAATGAATAATTTTTCTTAACTTCTTCCTTCCCTTGTTTGTTTTCTTTTTCTTCTTTCATTTGCGTTTACGAATAATCCACTAATGGTATCCCTTTTGCGTGTGTCGTGATTTAACAGAATACAAGTTTATCAATATTTCAATTTATTCTCTAAAAAAAAAAAAATAAGATTTTTCAAGTAATTTCATTTCAAAATAGAAAAAAAAAAAAACAAAAAGAAACAAAAAAGAAACATGCATTTCTAATAAAAAGAAACAAAAAAAAAAAAGAATTGTTAATTTCAAATTAAGATATAAAATTTATATACATATAAAGCAAAAAAAAAAAGAAAAAAAAATGAAAAACAAAGTAAAGATAGAGATACATCCCAATGCATGCGTGAAAAGTCTTCTCTGCCTGATAGTGCCCGGCATGTCTCGCTGAATTTCTAATTTTTTCAACTACTTGTACTCTTATCAAGAATTATTATCATTTATTGATCATTAGTATTATATTAACCCCCTAATTTTCCTTTATACTTGATACCATCATCATTTTTTATGCGCCATCAGCCATGGATCACGAAGGCCCATAGTACAGTGACACCTGCAGGAATGATTTTTTCACAAACTGATACTTGATGCAACTGAATTATTTATTACAATATTTAATACATTATATTAGAGAAAAAAAAAAAAAATAAGAAAGAAATTCGCATAAGTGCAGATTATCGTTTAACTAACGGAAGTGATTGATCATTTTGAGAAAAATCAAAAGGAAAATTTAATCGAATTTACGTACAATTGTTTATACAAAATGAAGAATGAAACGTTAAAATTACTAAAACAAAATTAAAAAAAATTATTTTTTATATATAGATATATATATATTTTCCGTACCACACTTCTATGGTAGTTTAAAGATTTTTTTGCAAATATGCGCATACACAAAGATACATTTTGAATAATTTATCTATAACAAATTAATTAAACAAATTAAAAAACAAAGACGAGATATTATTCGTCTTTCATCTAATAAACCTTTTGCATTTATTTACGATCCATATGAATGAATAATCTGTAATAATATATGATTATTTTAATATTGATTGAAATACAAAATTGTTGTAGATATATGAAAAGATATTATACAAAATGCAATTCTTTGATATATTTCTCAAGTATCAACGATATCCAAAGCAAGATGAAATCATTTATTTTCTTTGCCCGAATGAATGAATTTTCGATTTTTCTCTATATTTTCATTTATATATTTTTCTTCATAACAAAAAAAAAAATT